GAGTGTCCACACATGGGACACTTGAGCAAGTCTTATGCTAATTTTTATTTCAGCTTGTGACTGGCTAAAAAGGTGTGTGTCATCAAGCATGCAAGTTCACATGCCAGCTCTGCCACTTTTGTGTGTTTACCCTGAGGGTTCATTAATCTTTCTTGTCAGAAAAATCTTTGTGTGTGCCTGATGCCCTGAATAGTTGTGTTTGGCTGTTTCAAAGGTGATTCTCCTGCCTGCTGGATATGCTTTGGTTTGGTATGATAAATGCTTGGGGTTTTTTTTCCCTCCCCCTCCTTCTGCATGGTGCATTTGACTGTCAGCATTCCTTTGCCTTTATCTGTGCGCTCTTTAGGATGTCCATATAAAGTTGCTAAATGGAATTTTTATTGGCTTGGCTTAATAATCAAACAGTTTCCAGGCTGGTTCTGTCTAGTGCTATGTAGATCCATTCTGAGAAAGAGGACACTGTTGGGTTTTGGGTATTTTTTTTTTCCCTTTTCCACAGACTTTTGTTGGGGATATTGCTTATTCAAAGGTTAGGGTTTAATTAATTTCTGGAAAAGCTGATTTGTTAGATTAAGTAAGGCCTGAGTCATATCAGTCTGGAACATCAGCATCCTAATTGGAAATGAGTGTATTGTATCGGTGTATTGTGCAGAAAACCACAAAATGCATAGTGCAAGTGGCCCTTGAAATGTACCACCAAAACAAAGAAAAGCAAACAGGATATTGTGGTTGTGTAGTAAAATGACATTTGAACAAAATGTAAGTTTGAGCTTGAAATAGTGATAATCTTTTGTATTCAGAAATTGCTTAAAATTCCTGTGGCTGTCTAAATTCCATTAAAATCAGTAAGCTGTTAAACTTGTACCTTTTGAGCAGGTGAAATCATTCCTGTGTTGAACTGAATTATTTTTCATCTGTAGTAAGTGCTTGACTTCAAATTCTACTGGCCCCACATTAAGTGGCCATGCCCACATTTAATGTGTGTTAATTATCAAAGACAATGCAAGATTAAAAAATAAGCAGTCTATAAATCCTCCTTCAGATAGGTGGAGTTGGCTTCATGAATTATGAACCAGGAACTCTCTGGACCTGGGTGGTTACTATTTATTGCGTACTACTTAGTTTGTAAAGTGAGTTGCTCAAACTCTAGCCTAGGAGGAGATTACATTAATTTCCTTCTGCCCAGAGAATGTCTGTTTAAAATAGAAATTAGTGTATTGTCACCTGCCTGGGTTTTTATTGGTGCCCCTGAAGCTTTCCATGAAGTTGGGAGACAAACTGCACCTCAAGAATGTGTTGTGGTTTTCTGAGCATTATTACTATCCTGTTCTCTGCCTGTGGTGAGTGAGTGAGGGGAGCACAGGTCACACAGTCGTGGAGGAGGCTGCTGCAGCATCAGCTGTGCTGGGGATTGCTTGCAAAGTGTCCCCTTGGTTTCAGGTGGTGACAGAAGTGCTTTAGGTGCCCCTGTGCTTGTGCCCAGTGTTACACCTGACCTGGGCTGTTCAATCAAATCACTGTTAGTCTCAGCACTGGTATCCTCTGCTCCTGTCTCCAGCTTTACCACCACATATTGACTTGGAAAGTTGTAGTCTGACCTGTATTAATCTGTGTTTCCATCTGAGACACATGGAAAAACTCAGTATGGGGGAACTCTGTATTTCAGCTTTGTTTTGGGCTTAGCTAGTTGTAGTCTAACTTGGGAACTGGAAGTGCAGATTGTTTAATCACACTTACAGACATGTTTCTTTACAGATTTGGACACCTGACTAAGAATGATCTGTTATTGATTTAGTTTTAGCAGAAAACTGTCAGTGTGTGCCTGCTCGTGCTGGTGAGTCAGTGGTGCAGGATTCATAAATGATCTGTGTATCAGAGCCTTGTGTGACTTCTTTTCCCTCTTTGACGCCAGGGGGGTTCAGCTTCCTTCAGGTTAGATTGCTATTTGCTTTATTTTACAAAGGGATTTTGTTTTCCAACATCAAGTGGTCATTCTATAGAGGCTTTTTTCTCTACAGTAATAGTTGCAGGGCTGAGATTGTAATATTCACCATTTCACTAGTTTTGCTGGTAGCAATGGTGGAAAATATAGGGTGAACAAGGTTTGGAAGGTATTTTCCAAGGAGAAAGTATAATCCAAGCAGTTATGTGCTATAAAAGTACAAATATCTGAATGCTGTCCATGCTAATAAATTCTGGGTACCGTAAGCCACAAAGCAATGAATTTGCTGGAAAGCTTTAAGGAGAATAAATTAAAAACCACTACCAGAAGATGGATAGATAAGGGAACTTTGAGGAATTGGGACCAAATTCTCACTGACAGAGTTTCACAGAGAGGGGAACATACCCTCATGTTTTCTGAAGCTTGGCTGGAAGCAGTCTTGTTTGATAATCATGTAGCAACTCAAGTTAAACATTCAGAGTTCAAGGGGAAAGCAGTTAGCATAAAATACCATTTTGATTGAGGTTTTTCATGGCATAAACTGCATTCCAGGGCTTCCATCAGATGACCCATATATCTTTCATCAAAGCATGTTATTTCCTCTTTGGCTTTCTGTTTAATATTAACTCTGTCTACACTGCAGTTTCTTTTTCACTGGTCTGCAGGATCTGACTCCTTCTGAGGTGAATCACTCCTGTCGGGTGGAGGTGTGTGGTGCCCACTGCATTCCAGGCTGCAATTCTGCCCCTACCCCTGCAAGGGTCAGGGATGGCTGCTGAGTTGTTGAGTGCTTCATGCTAGTTTGAAAGGAATATGGATGATGCTTTTATGCTTGTTATTTTCTTTTGTCTCATTGTAACTGAGGATAAGCAGATCAAGCTGACCAAAGTGCGAGCGTGTATCAGTGCACAAGGGTGTCCCAAAAACCTTCTTATTCCTGAAATACTTGCTGAATGGCTGACAATGCTTCTGGTTTGACCACTGCCTTCCTCCATAGCACAGCTCATACCACTACATTTCACTGTCCTTGTTACCCCTGAGTACAGTCACAGATGTCTTTTACTGTCTCTTGCTTCCAAAACCTAAATTAATATTCTGTAATGATTAATTAGCCTCATATCTGCATGGGAATGAACTGTCAGTGCAAGAGATGCTTGGCTGTGTGAATGGGCTCAAGATGATGAGCTGTATCACTCTATAGCTGGTGAAGTGTATCTCCAGAGTGAACCATGGAGCAGCCAATTTGTGCAACATAGATAAACACGTACAGCACATACAAGTGCATAGTACATCAGATATGGTGCCAGGGACATGTTTTAGTGGTGAACCTGGCATTCCTAGGTTAATGGTTGGATTTGATGGTCTAAAGGGTCTTTTCTATGATTCTGAGAGAAACCCATTTTTTTAACCTGACCTTGATCTTTTTTATGCTGATATAACAGAATTGATGATGTAAATATCTCTAAAATTTGCCAGGTGAACAATATTAACATGTATCAGTGGAAACATTGGAAAGTCTTGTGAGTTTAAGTGTGGAAGACCTCAATTTCAGGACTGTGGTTTACAAAATCCACTTTTGTTTTCTAGCAGTCTTCAAAGGCAGGTCACTGTTGTAGTTTTGTTCTACTTATGTGCCAGGAGATGGGTAAAGATTCGGTGCATGTTCTCATGGTTATTTTGGTACTTCATATGGTTTATTCTCTGCTCTCCCCATGCCCTCAGTCACTTGCTGGATTCAAGGGGTCATTTCCTGTTTGCAGAACTCCTACTAACATCAGTAGGGCTGTTGTGCAAACATTTGGGGCTTCAATATGGCCTCTTTTGTCCTTCCTTTTTTTTCTTTTTCCTATCTGCCAGCCAGCTGAATAAGCACAATTATCTCTGTGCTCTGTGGATATGGTCTGTACGCATGCAGGTGGGATTCTCAAAAGGCAGTCTGCCTCTCTGACACATCTGCTGTCATAAGTCTCCCATTTCTAAATCCAGATCCAAAAATTCAGCATTTTTATCTCTTCTGGTAGAAGCTGCTTAGAGGGAGATAGATCTGTTTGCAGTTTTCTGCAGGGCCAGTTCTGCAGAGATACTGGTTGAGCCAGAAAAACCAAACTGATCTCCTCCTTGGTGCCTGACTTGACATACCCTGTGCATTTTCCAGGAAAAGGGAGAATCGAAAGATAAGCAAGAAAAGCTAGCTATAAGGTACACATATGCTCCATTAATCCTAATGGTACTACCCTGCCTTGATACTGGTTGCAGGCTTATTGTAAAGGCTTGGTATAGTACAATGAGCTTTTGTACTGTCTTAGTAATTTCTATGTGTAAGGTATTGAGACATCAGTCTCCTTTGTCTGCTGTCAGCCTCAGAGAGATGTTATTTCATAAACTAGGTAGCTGAATTCTGTTGAATTGACTAAATTCCTTATGTGAGGGTGGTGGTGGGGTGGTGGAAGTGTGTATTCCCTTCCTGGAACTGGTCCTTGCACATGCTGTAATACCCATTGCTGCCTCCACACAAGTCTGGAGGAATACTGCCCTTGGCAGCGACTTTCCAAGCCTTATGAAACATTTTTTTTTTGTGGTTCACCAAAACACCTTGCAGGCCTGACTGCTCCCTGAAGATGGCAAGATTTTCTCCAGTTGCCATCCTCTGCAGAATTGTTCCTGGACCTGTTGTGCCAGCACACACTTCTTCACACAGGCATTGCTTTGGCAGAAGGGACAGACAGAGGCAGTGCTGTTACAGCCATGTGGCATGGGGGGACAACTGCCTCAAGCAACCTGGTGACTTTCTGAAGGGTGACCAGAAAACCATGGCAGCCTCGGGAGACAGCTGTAATTGATGTCCTAATGGAGAGCTTTTAGCTGCCAAAAGGCAAACCTTCCCCTCAGATTTCTGCTGTGCTTTAGTGCCTGTCGATTACTGGGGCAAATGCATTATGTTAGCAAAAATAAGCTTTCCCTGATCAAACGTATGCTTTATCAGCCACATAAATGCCAGCATGACTCTCTCATTGCTACAACATATTAAACACCTTGGAAATGTTTCCTTAAACTCTAGGTCAGTCTTATGAAATCCGTCTACTTGAGAATAGGAAATTGGGAGAGTTTCAAGATTTAAACACAAAATATGTAAAGGTAAGGAGAAACATAGATTTCTTTTCTTCCTGCTACTACATACAGCCTTTAATGAAGGGCCTGACCTTGCTCCCACTGAGACAATGGAAAACACTTTGCCATTGTTTTTAATGGAAGCAGGGGTGATGGAGTTGTTGAGTGCTAGTTTCATGGGACTATGCAGCTTGGCTTTGCAGGGCTTTATTCTGTTTGTGATCACGACCCCAGAGTTTCACTGTGAATGTTGGGTTCAGGGGAATCCCAAAGTTCAGTGGTGAACATGGTCAAAGCTGTGGAGAGGCAGACTTGTCTCCCTACTGAATCACAGCAGCATGCCTGGGTTGTTATGTGACAAATGGAGGGCCCGGGTGTTTCCATAGTCCTGCCAGGCAGATTCTGTATAGCTCCAGTTTACTTTGGTAATGGGCATAATGATGAACATATAGAACTTGATCGTTTGGTTTGGGGGACTTTTTCCTGTTGTTTCCTCCACTGCCAAAACAGTTCAAATTCAAAAACGTTGGTCTGGACCCTGGTTCTGGATCCAACCTTCAATTCTTGGCTTTCTGCCTCAGGATTTCCTTTGAGAAGTGGGAACTAGTTGCAAAATTAGTATTCCAATTTGGATTTCAAATGTTGTCCAAGTTTAGGCCATTCCTTATTTGTCTTTTGGCCCATTTCAGGTAGCATGTGGATTGAGATTCCAATTTTGCAGGTGTTCCCACTGTGGCTTGTTTGCATCTTTAAGCTAGGGTTTGATTTGGACATTTCTCAGGTTCACTGGCAAAAGTTGCTCACTCACTTGATACAGAAATCCCCAGCAAGAGTGTGGGCTTGAGAAACTGGGATGTTAGGGGTCATTAACTCATGTAAGTATAGCACTGTGAATATACAAAAGAACATTTTAGTTAGGAGTACTTAGGATTATCTGTCCTGGGGATTGCCCTTATTCCAGCCTTTTTTTCTCCAGTTATTGGCATGGCTGCACCATTGCAGACCAGCCTGCTGTTACAGATGCTTTCCTACTCTACCTACCCTTGTTTAACTACTCTGGGGCAAATCCAATGACTGGCTCTTAATGGCTGGAATAAAGTTTAATTCCCACTGACAAGGTGTCTGGACATATCAGCTCCACTGGGACAGCAACAGGTGAGCCTGCTTCCACATTTGCAAATCAGAATGGGATATACTGGGGCTGAGACATGGTACAGACTCATTAAATATTACCCCCATATGAGCCCTTTTGTGTGTTGAGGCAAAATATTGAAGTTTACATGCCATGACACTTAAGATTAGGTGGACATTGCTATAGTGCTTCCAGAGTGAATCCCAGAAAGCTGTACAGGGCTGTGTTACTCCTGTAAGATGTGCCCTATGAAGGGGGAAGTGTGTTTCTCTCTCAGGGGTCCCTAGGGAATTTGATACACATGGTGATGGGTCTCTTGGGTGGACCCTTCTACTCTCCTCATCAATGGAGATGAGAAGCATAACAGATCAGCTTTTGCTTCTACTCTGGAAAACCAAATTAAATCTTGAGAGAGGGTTCTGGATGCCATTGTTCATTCTTTTTTTAACAGAGTATAATTCGTGTGGTTTTCCATGACCGCCGCCTGCAGTACACGGAGCATCAGCAGCTCGAGGGCTGGAGGTGGAGTCGGCCTGGGGACCGCATCCTCGATATAGGTGAGGCTATTTCATTGTGGCACCTCTGCACTGCTGGGGAGATGAGTGGTGCATGCAGTGTTTGCATGTGTGTTTAGGTTTCCCAAGAATCCTGTATGTCTTTGGGAGGGAAGGAGATCTGGCGCTATAGGCACAAGTAGAGCTGTCTTTGATGGCTTCGCTTTCACATGCATGTTCTGATTGTATGGAAATGCTTTCTCTTCTTCAATTTAATATTTTTAAAATTTTAGGGGTTTTCTTCTACAGATATCCCGCTGTCAGTTGGTATCTTGGATCCCAGGGCTAGCCCGACGCAGTTGAACACTGTTGAATTTCTCTGGGATCCGTCCAAGAGGGCTTCAGCATTCATTCAGGTAAGAGATAAGTCATATTTCTGTGCTAAATACAGTGGTTAGATATCTTTTAAAGACCTGGGGAGAAAAAATAGCCAGTACATGAGCAAGAGAGAAGGATGGTAATGATAATTACTAGCTCGTGATAGTCATGTGTAATTAATTTGTAGGATACTCGCTAAATCAATTTGCTGGCTACTTGTTAATGTTGGGGTACTACCTGCTACTGCCAGGATTTTCTTTAAAAAAGTACTCAGACACTGGTGTTGCTTTCTAAGCATAGGTTTTGTTTTGAGGAACCTGTTCATAACCTGTTAGTTTTCCTTGCTTTCCTCTTTCGTGACTATTTCTTATTCTGAGCATCAATGATTTGTTTTTAATGTGAATGAGGGATTTACTTAAAGGATGCTTTTCCTGATGCCCTGTTTCTTTCTGAACTGCTTGTTCTGATTATTTTGTTGAAAGGAACAGAAATGAAAACATACAAGCTCTTCTGCCTCTTAGTTTTTTGTGAGGAGCCAAAGCTCATGTTCAGGCAGTATCTGAAATTCAGATGAGCACAGGTTCCAGCTGTCTCCAGAGATGAGCACAGTTTCTGTTTTGCCAGGTACATTGCATCAGCACAGAATTTACTCCACGGAAGCATGGAGGAGAGAAAGGGGTGCCCTTCCGGGTGCAAATCGACACCTTTAAGCAGAATGAAAATGGTGAATACACAGAACACTTGCATTCTGCAAGCTGCCAGATCAAAGTGTTCAAGGTATGAGGTAGTTTTGGCTTTGTCATCAACTGGATTATGGCACAGGAATATGCAAAGATTTCAGGTGGTATAGGAGCAATGCAAATACTGGAGTAAAAGAGCAGACTTTTAACTGTGTATGCTTAAGATCTTAAACAGGACTCCTGTGCACATGCTGCTATAAACACTGACCTACACAGCAATTCTAGTTGAAATGTTGCACCAAGGCTTGTGCTAGTCTGTTGTACTTCAAACACTACAAAAATACTGACATATTTGGGGTATCCGGTGTGTTTTGATGCTCCTAGGCAATCAAGGCATTAGGGCATCTTCAGTTTCTTTGTTTGAACCCTCCATGAACAATAAAATCTTATTGTGGAGATCTTAAATACCTTTTGTTTTTGTTGGAGCAGAGTTTGTCTCTATGGTACCTGAAGGAGAAAAAGATTCATAGAACAAGAATCTTTGAAGCTCCTAATCCAGGCATAGCAGACCTATAGCTACTTAACAACAAACTCTCCATAGGCCTGTTTGCTCAAGGGATGTGCTGCTCCACTTGTGTTCCTGTGAGCAGTGTCTTTCTTGTTTCTGGAAAGATGCTACAAATGCCAGTTGAGGTGTGTAACTTATGGACTGAAGTAGTTGGAATCACATCTCAGAGCTGTGGTCAGCCCATTTCAGAATTGCAATAGGCATCAGTGGTGAATGTACAGAAACAGTAGGGATGCTTGATTAGTTTTCTTTTGTCTAGAAAATGCAGATCTGATCTTGTTTCTTATGTAGAATGCCTGTAAATCTTAAGGAGACTTTTGTGAACAGATTAATCTGTTGGCCTCTGTCTCCAAACTTGTAATGCTTGGCATAAGGGAGAGCCTGTGCTTGTACTTATAGCCTAAAGGAGCTGACAGAAAACAGAAGACTGACAGGGAAAAAATGGAAAAGAAGACCACCCAAGAGAAGGAGAAGTATCAGCCTTCCTATGAGACAACTATTCTCACAGAGGTAAAGTGTTTTAGACACATCATACTACATCATGTTGAGAGATAAATTTAAAAGAAAACAGCATCTGAGCCCCTGGAGATTGTCTTGTGTGGAGACATGTGCGCTCACATCTGAGTGAAACTGAGAGTGAAACAAAATTATAAAATGACTCACTGCTGAAATTTATGAAAGGTGCCAAAGTTTGTCTTGGGGTATAAACTAACCCTTAGAAGCCTGGCTTTAAAAAAAAACCAAAACAACAACTTTCTCAGTTTTCACCACTGTGCTCCTGGGCACTTGTCATGGTCCTCAGGTGCCAGTTGTATGAAAATACAGTTGTCTATTTTTTTCAGAACTGCTTGGCAAAAGCTCATGCTGAAGATAGGACACTTGAGCAGATGAATAGGCTGTCTGATTAAATTATTGATCTGTTTATCTGGGAATGTGCCTATGAAGCTGTTGTTATGTGCAAGATTTTGGGTTGTACTCTAGGAATATCTTGTTTTATATTCTGATGCAGCTGGTGTAAAGTTGTATGTGTTTCTGCCCCTCCCTGTCATTACTAAGATGTTTGTATAAACTTAGCATAGGCTGTAGAATTAGTCAGCAACAGGGCTCAAGAGATTTAAGTGTTGCTCAGTCTCCCTATGGGAATGACTTGTTATTTGATTTAGTACTTCTTTTTTTTGGAGCAGCTTGCTGGACTTCCAAAAATGATGTTAATTATTCCTAATTTAAATAAACTTCCTATTTTTGAGATCCAATCTCTCCCACTCCATTTTCCTCATGTTGCCAGGAGCAACCAGCATGTTTTCTGATTGACAGACCTAATTCTACTGAGTTGGCAGATCCCAGACGCTGCCTGCGAGCTCTGATGCACTTTGACATATTGCGTGGGGAAATGTGGGTTGCCAAAGAGTTAAATATTTGCCAGTGCTTGTGGAGATTATAAAATATTTGCTAGTGTTTGTGGAGATGATAAAGCTCCAAAGCTACACTTGCTGTCTTTTTATCATTGCAAACAAGGCCACTACAGAGCATTTTCTTGAGCTCCTGGTGGCGGGGGGTTCAACAGGGCTAGATTTCTCCTGCTGATTACTGTGGCTTAAATTCAGGACAGAGTCACCAATTCTAGCTGGGTTACTCTGGTTTTATGCTACTGTCATGGAATGTGGAGTCTGACCTATATTTGTGAAGGCTTTTAGTAGCTTTGTGTCTGTCTGTCTATCTTAAGTTTTTTCCACTTAGTAGCCATTTATGATTGGAGCTGTTTGACTAATAGCCAGAGGTTTCAGCAGGCTGGTTCAAATTCTGCTCTTTTGCTGGTATAAACCTGAAGCAATGCCACAGGAGCATTTTTGTCACTCTTGCCTGGATTTAATTAGGGATTTATAATTGAGACCAGGGGTATTTCTGTATCATTGCTGCCTTCAGTCTGAGTTGACTTACTGGCATTGCTCTGACTTACAGCTGTGCACACTTTGGCCCAGTGTTATTTGGGGACAGGCTTTGTGAAATGGGAGAAAGAAATGTGGAATGCACAACTGGAATCAATCTTGGCCCCCTGACAGCCCACTTGGAGAGCAGTGTAGAAAATCCATGGCCCGTCTCTTCCTCCCAGCAGGAGTGATGAGCTGAAGTTAGTGGCGTGGCAACAGCATGAATGTGGTATTAGAGGAGAATCAAATCCTTTATTTCCATCCTTATGAAAGTTTCCCCACTGCCTTTCTTCCAACAGTGCTCTCCCTGGCCAGATGTGCCTTATCAAATGAACAATGCTCCATCTCCAAGCTACAACAGTTCTCCCAACAGCTTCAACCTCGGAGATGGGTATGTAACAAATACATGCTTTATCTTTCCTCTTGATATGGTAGCCTTTGTGTGTCCATGCATCTCATAGCCTGCAAGATGATGTTAAGGACCTCCCCCCTTTCTGGCAAGGAGAAAGTATTTTTCCAAAAGCCTTTAAGACCTTCCATCCAGGAATTCCCTGTAGTGCAGAGTACTGTTTGTGCATGTTTATGTGGTGGCTGGAAGGGGAGCATCAGAGGGCCTCAGGGCAACTCTTGGTGAGAATACACCATGCCCTCTACCACCAACCCCAGTATCTTCTCACAAGTGTGTAGAGGCTTTCAGCACCTCTTCAGAGTTGGTGTTTCCTCCTTACTTTCTGTCTTGGGGTAGTTTGGGGTGCTGAATTCCTAGGTGAATGACATGTAAAGAAATCCCGTTTGTGGCAAAACAGCCTGGCTTTTGAGACACTGTTTCAGAACAAAGGGCTAATGAAGACATGTTTAATTCATTAAATAGCCATCATAACATGACAGCTCTAGTGATTCTGAAATGCTGAAGATGATAACTGGTGTCCCATAGTACTTATCAGTCCCCCCTTCTGCATACTTCCCCTTAGGACTTTGGTATAGGCCTTTTTCTTTTGGTAGGACTCTGCCATCTTATTGCCTTCCTACACAACTTAACTACCATGTTGTATTAATCCATGCTGTATCACTAATTTTCAGTTAATCCCCTCAGACTATGAGAAAGAACAAACACTGAAATTACAAAATTTTGTGTTAGTAGAGAGATCTGCTAAGTTTTTTTTCCTTTGGTAAAATCCCTGATATGTTTAGGAGTCCTGTCTGTGTTTAGGGGAATTTACTAGAAATGTGGTTTTGCATGATTTATGGCACTTGACTATGTTTAAGATAACACTGGGGTTGAATTATAAGGTCTTTTATTCATTTTTTGTGAAGAATTATTACTAGACAGTAGATTTAGTTAGGATATTTCTGGCTCATAGAAATTTCAAGTTCAGCTACCCTGTAGGTTACAATTTTCTTGCTTAGGTGACGTCACATTAGTGAGTCAACCATATGGAAAAGCTTGATTGAGGTCAGCAAATCTGAGTTTTTCTCTTAGTTTTGATGAGGACCTCAAATGACCAGCAAATGACTCAGGTAGAGAGCTTTTTTTTTTTTTTTTTATTCTTGTTCCAAATTTTGAACACCTTTTTAAAGATCTGATAGACAAAAAAAGCCAAGTTGGATGTAACAGACAAAAAAAGCCAAATTGGATGTAATTTGTGAAAGTTGAGTCAAATAGAGGAGGGGGAAGAGGATGGACACTGCAATGTAAAATTTAAAATAATGTGTTTTTTTTCTCTTCCAACTTTATATAATTTCTTTTAGCAACAGTTCTCCAACCCACCAAATGGAGCTCCTGCCTCCCAGCAATGATGTAAGTACTTGAGATCATGTTAATGTGGTGCTTTTCTCTTTTAGGACACTGGTGAACAGTTCATTTCAAGACCTTCTTATTCTTTTTGCAATGTAGCATCTCCTTCCTTCTGCTTCTATTCAAGATGCCCAGCAGTGGCTTCATCGTAATAGGTTCTCTCCATTCTGTAGACTCTTCTCAAGTTTTTCGGGTGAGTTTAAACAGTCCAAATGTTCTGGTTTTTTTCTCTTCTGTAAGTGCAGCTCATGTAGCATCTGCTGCTGGCCACGTTTGATGGGATCCTTGGTCTGATCCAGTGTGGTTGTTCTTTGGTTCTTAGATTAGTTACCGTTTGTCAAAACAATTTGTAGACCTACAGAGTAAGTAAAAATGGAAGGAAATAAGTTAAGATGGAAGGGCCTTCCTAAGTTCATGAAGTGCAACTTCAAAGCAAGTCCAGGGCCTTGTGCAGTTGGCTTTGAACATCTCCAAAGCTGGACATTCGACAATTTCTCTAAACAACCTCTTCAGATATTTACCTATTCTGACAGTGAAAATGCTTTTTCTTATATCTAATCAGCATTTCATCTTCTGTCTGCTGCCTCCCATCCTGTCCATGTGCACATTTAAGAGGCATCTGGCACCTTCGCTGTGCCCTCCCATTCAGCAGTTGTACACACCAGTAAGACGGTGGAAGGGGCAGTTGTTAGAGATGTTGAAACCATGAGGAGACTCTCTCTGACTTGCAGCATGATGAAATAACTCAGTGAATGTGACAGTTACAGAAGAACAGGTCATTTAATGGCCAGTGTGAAATATTTACCTTGTTTATGAGTTGGCTGGAGTATTTTCCAATGCAGCACTGTTCTTTTGGCAGCTTCCAGCTTTGTTTCACAGTGATTGATTTAAAGTGCACACCTCTCTGAATTTGCAACTTCTCTGTATAAATCTATGTGGTTTAGCTTTGTGGATTCTCTATGCCCTCTACCCCTGCCCTTTTCTGCTGCCCATACATACTATTTGGAATCTGGGATTTGCTTAACTTCTGAAGAAAAATCAATTTGAAATATGTAGGTGCCGACTTACTGAAGATGTCCAAAGAAGATTTTGTTCAAATCTGTGGGCCTGCGGATGGAATTCGGCTCTTTAATGCAATTAAAGGAAGGTTTGTACTATTTCCTTTCTATTTTTTTCTGATCCCTTGATAATTTCAGTGTTAACTAGAAGTTAATCCTGGAGTTGTAGCATTTATACTCCCTTTTAATACTTCAGAGAGGTTCTCTCAGGGACTGGAGATCACAATGATATTCAAATCCAAGCACAGCTCAGAAATGTTGCCAAAACAAAGCAGCATAATGTGGATCTCTAGTGGTTTATTTGCTGCCAGCTGATTGCTTGCATCATTTCATGAGATACAGAGCCTACACTACCCTATGCTGCTCATAAATTCTACAGCTGAGCAGGATTTAAATCAGTAGAGGCAGGTATGATGAACTGCTTAGCAAGTGCTGTAAACTGTTTGTTCTTATCTGATGTTGAAAAGATTAAGATGCTCTGCATCACCTCCCAGGAGTCTCTTGCTAGACATCCTAGGCTGTCTAGTCACCAGCATCAAGACTATCCCTTAGTTTGTTACTTATGCATGGCATGAATGATTCCATCTCTTACTGTTTGATAGCTGACCTGGAACTTTTAGATCTATTTCAGATCTACTCAATAACTTACTGCTGGTTTTGATTAATCCATAGAAATGTGAGGCCCAAGATGACAATTTATGTCTGTCAAGAACCAGAGCAAAACAGGTCCCATCTCCACCAAAAACGAGAAAATGGAGATGGCAGTCTTTGTGGTAAGTTCTTATGTATGGATTTTGTTAAACACTTACCTGGTGAGAATGCTGCTTTCTGCCTGAGCTCCTGTGTAGAACAGCTTGGTGTCCTTAGGGTTTATGGGGATCCTGTTTATCCCAGTTTTGCCACTTTGGTTATGGTTTAACAGCTACAGATTCCAAATGGCACCGTCTGCCTGGGGGACAGACCCAGCTTACAAATTGTCTGCAGAGTGCCACAGCAAAATCTCTATTCAGTTCTTAGTAGGGACAACAGCATTAAAAACCACCCTTCCATCCGCAATTTTCTTTAGATTATGTCTTGTTTGAAAATACTCAGGGGAGTGGAAGGTTGGTAGGTCTTAAAGTAATGTTATAATTCTTGAAAGTTCACAGCTTTTGGGAATTTTTCATCCCTCATGACACAATGTACAATCAAATGAGAACAAAGATTCTCCTTAAATCTTGCATTTAGTAATAAACAGGCACAGCTTTCCTACCTCGTAGCTATAATTTGGATTAGATTTCTAAAACAATACTGTCATCCATGGTGTTACCTTCTACATTGTATGTTCTAGTTTGTGCCTATGGAATCAGTGAATGGTATCTAATAAAATATTGCTTTGGTGTGACATAGCCTGTGTTTTACTATTTGATTGAATTATTTTTTTTAAACTTCAAAAATCAGTAAAAGATTATCCACAAATATAAGCAGCTTTATGAGAAGGCTGTTTTAGTGCCTCATGATGCAAGTTGTAATTAGTCCCCATGTTTTCCTCTGGGTAAAAGTTGCGTGTGTTTTAATTGCCTGCTGCATAGGAAGAGTGGCTATTTTTCTGCAAATCATCAAATCAGATATTTGGAGGATGCTTTAAAATACTAAGCTTGTTTATTCCATTTGAACCTTCATCTTAAACCCATTTGGTTGTTGATGCTGAGTGTCTTGGTGCCATCTGCATTTGCTGTTCTGTAGCTGCTTTCCACTTGTTGCAGTGTATCATGCAATCTTCTTAGAGGAGCTGACCATGCTGGAGTTGCTGGAGAAGATTGCAAACTTGTACAGCATTTCTCCACAGCAGATCAACCGCATCTACCGGCAGGGACCCACGGGGATCCACGTCCTCGTGAGCAATGAGGTGAGGGGGCTGAAGGGGCTGCAGCTTTGTCAGAGGTGGAACAGTTGTCTGACTTCTTGAAGCTAGAATGAACTTTCAAATTATGGAATGCACCTTCAAGGGAGAATTGTAAAGCCATTAATCCCAACAAGTTAAAGTAGTGAATCAGCATGCACAACACTGATTTTGGTGTGGTTTCAAGACCTTTGCTTTGTAAAAGATGTTGGGGTTTTTGTTTGCTTTTTTAAAGTAAAAAAAAACCAACAAAATTGGTCATTTATTGCACTCTACTTGAAAAGTGGTTGTGACAGTGTGGGGCTCTGTCTCTTCACCCAAGTAACAAGTGTCAGGATGAGAGGAGATGGCCTCAAGTTGTACTAGGGAAAGTTTAGATTGCGTATTAGGAAAAAATAGTTTATTTAAAGGGTTACCAAGCATTGAAACAGGCTGCTCAGGGAAGTGGTTGAGTTACCATCCCTGGGGCACTTGGGGACGTGGTTTAGAGCTGGGCTTGCTGGTGCCAGGTCAATGTTTGTGCATGGTGATCTTAGAGGTTTTTTCCAACCTAAATGATTCTATGAATTTCTTTTAATTTTGGCTACTTACACACATTTTGAAGTGAGGATCTAAAGAACTTTTAAAATTAAATAGATAAGTTGCCCAAAGAAGGTAAGTTTGAAAATCTGTAGGGCAATTAGTTTTACATCTTGGCCCATGTTTCCAGGCACTGGGTCTGTCACTATATGCATACTATAATTTATGGACCTCTCATACTGTTTGTGTCCCATTATATGATGCCTTAATTTAGTCCATTCCATTAACTTACAGGTTAATAGTGAGTTGCCCTTCTTCCTCTTTTTTCTCTACTAAATTACTTACTCATTCATGCACCAGAATCACTTAAGGAGCTTCATTTTAAGAAGCATTGTTAAAACAAATGAAGCAGAGCATAGGTCTCAACTGGAGTCTAAATGGAAGGCCGTAATGCTTATTCCTGAAGTCTCCTTGCTATTCCAGCCTGATTAAATCTGAAACTTCAATGCTTTATGGATGCAAAATGCTTGGAGGCAGCTCTTGGTAGGGGAATTGCATGAACCAGCCTGGGTATAAGGCTTTAAGTATTTGCTGAAGTCAATTATTAACAAGTTCTATTGCTTTTCTAATATATTTCTTCTTGTTCTAGTACTATAGTGGCAAGACTGTGGCACTCTGTGAATGTACTTCATGCATCATTAGGCAAAGACACACAAACTGGCCAGAGAAGTTTGATTTGAAGGAGTAGAGGCTGGATGTTAAATCCAAAAGAGTATAGGGAGATCAGTCTACGTTGAAAAGGGTATTTTGATGTGAGAACTTACAGCTGAAAAATGTACTTCTTGAATGATACTCAGTAGCTAGGAGAAGGCTTTTTCACAAGGCTGGATTTCATGAACTGATCAGAGAGGTTCAGGTCACTCTTCCCTTCTCTGGAATTGTGTCCAGCATTTGTTTCAACTGTATGAGACATCTCCTGAAGGTAATTTACCTCCTCTGTCCCACATAACTACTCTAAGATGAGAGGAAGCATTGACTTAAGGATGAATCTTAAATGGGCTTTTCATATTGCAGCTGAAATAATCTTTATCTTCTTATTTAAAGCTGTCACTAGAATCTGCACTTCTTCTGAAAATCTAGTTGCCTCTCACGAATAGCTCAAATAGCTTTAGGTTCTAGTTTTTCTTCTATGATTTGCCTTGTTTCTTACAATAGTTTCACTACAATTCTTGTTCCTTGACAAAATACAAACAGGTAAATTAATCCTGCAAGCACAGCATCTGTACTAATGTCTGATCAAAATAGCCAGATGGATGCTGCTGAGGTGGCTTTTCAGTAGCAATTCCTTTATTCAGAAGGGAGTCCATTTCTTGGGGTTTACCATTTCCAGGTATTCTTTAAATGCTGATGTAAGTTCAGCTGAGCTCCATAGTTTAGCTGAATATATAATTACCACTATTGGATTTTTAGGAAAGGGACTACCTTAATCCTGTCTAAACTAGTACAGCTTCACTAAAAGCAGCAAAGAGCATGATCTTTAATAGAATAATTGGAGTGGTATAGGAACCTTCAGGATCAAGAGCTACAAAGAGAATGGTAAAATGCTGAATAAGCTAGATCAGTTTCAGGCAAACACATTTAGTGTGAGCTTCCCTTAAACACAGTAGCAACTGCAAGGACCTTAATTGATCAGTCCTGTACATTAATAATCTCATGGGCAGGGTTGCTCAGGACTGTGCAGGATTAGACACCAAATGCTGTTTAATACCTCTCCTCTAAGTCTATACTGGCTCTGAAAGAATTGTGAATTTAATTGCTAAAAATGTACTGTGTTGGCTTTTTTCCTTCTGCCCTTCAGATGGTGCAAAACTTCCAAGATGAATCCTGTTTTGTTATCAGTACATTGAAAGGTGTGTATTGCTGCTGCTGTTACCTGTTACTCTAAAGATAATTCCTCCTTTCAATTGCACTAAATGTTATCACAAATTCAATGCTGTTATCCTGAAAAGATAAGTAATCTAATCTAGTGTAAGTCAAGCTGTTGACTACACTATGATAGACTGATCAATGCTTTACTCTCAGTTACACTGCTACAAAAATTCCATAAATCCATTGACACCACTGACATAAATGAGCGGGAAGCCTTTGAGTAAAATGATAAAATATGATAGTATTTAGGGGTTTTTAATGTAAATTATTTTACTTAGGTGTTCAACATTGGTTTTCATGAGTGGGTTGTGAAACAAGTGTATGAGCTATTGCAAAATACTGAGAAAGAAAATTTGAAGTTCTGTATTTCTGGTGTTTCTTAAAAGCGATGAAAATATGCTTTGCATTTCTTTGTTTCAGCTGAGAGCAATGATGGCTACCACATCATTTTAAAATGACCATGCTGCACAGAGAGACTTTTAATGGCCTAAAACTTAGTGCCTCACTGAGATTGCTACAACCTAGACTGGAAACACGAAGAACCTTCTGGATAAATGCTCCTGTGAACTAAGAATTACCAAACAGCTTAAGAAAAAACTTGCTTTTACAGATAGAAATTTTTGGTGGTGTGTGATTTTGGTGGGTTTGGTTTTTTTGTTTGTTTGGTTTGATTTTTGTTTTGGTTCTTTTGGTTTTTTTAAGCTGGAGCTGAGAACATCCTCAAAGCTTGTACATGTTTTTTCCTCCCTCCCTTCCTCTTCAGTCTTGAAAATTGTAGAGGTTTCTGCTTATTACTTAGAAACATCTGCCTTGTACTAAAGGGAAATGAAAGATAAACAAATCCCAATTCTCTTCACCCCTCATGAATTGATTTACTTACAGTTCTGAGTGCTCTCTTGCTTTCAACACACACCCTGATGCTGATGGATGTGGACTCCACAGGGTTCCTCTTGTACTCTTTGAGGTGGAAGGCTTGGGGCTACCTCCCAAAACAGATTGGGCAGTGCAGAGGATGGGTTTGGTGCCCAGCCTTCACTGATGTGTCAGCTCTGGAAGCCCACACTTAGCTGTTCTCCACCTGCAGGTGTGCTCAAAGTCCAGAGACCCTGGTCCCTCCTGACAGACCTTCTGTAGTACCAATCCAGCAGAGCAGTTCTGGAGGGTTTGAGGGAGGACAGACAACTTGTGGTGAGCAGTTCAGTACCATATTATTATCTGTAGCTTGAGAGTAGTCTCCTTGAATGGAGCATATGAAGGTTTTCTGAGGAACTGTTTTGAGCATTGGAAGCTATAGTGCTCATGACAAATTCATACTATGGATTTATTCTACTCTACAAATTAGTGATTAACTGCTATCTTTACTGTAACTGGGAATTAGAAGTTATAATCTAAATGGATTTTCATCCTGTTACTGAGGTTAAAACTGTTTTGATCAAGACCAGGTAACAGATCATCTTAGTTGCTGCTTCCTATGTTCTTGCTCTTTCACTTTTGACCCCTGTTTCCCATATCTGTAACTATGATCAGCTCCACCCTCCCTTGGTCTTTTGGGACTCCATCCAGGCTCCATTAAGCTAAAAAGATGGCTTCCACTGAAGTCAAAGGCAAACTGGATTACACCTTTCTTGCATGGATGAAACCATTCCACTTTTGACAGCTAACTAATGTGGCTGTTTCCCCAAACTGAGTGTCCATATACCATCACAATCTGATTCTTGAACATTTCATTACATCCTGAACTGACATGGAAAGCTGAAATACCAAACATTTTCCTGGAATGGAAATTTTTCAAAAAATGAGAAATTGTCAGCTGGAAAACACTGAATAAAATGTTCCAGCCTTTTTAAATGGAAACATTTAATTAAATCCATTTGGCCCTTCAAGCAGCATCAGTTTGAGCTACTGTTGCAGCCCTCAGAAATTGTCATTCAAGTGCCTTGTGCGCCATGTCTCCCTTGGGGCTGAGCTCTTTGGCTGAATTACAGATCCCATGATGCTCCTACCCTGGGTTAGTCAAACAGGGAATGCGTCATGAGGGCTGGAGAGGTGCCCAGGGAGAGAGGGGGCCATGGAGCCCTTGAGTTACAGCTCCCAGCTGACACCGGAGGAATTCGGACAGACACGGACTGATATTTCTCTGACAAAAGTTATGTGTTTCAAGTGTTCCCAACAGAAATAAACAGCAAAATATTGAGAAAAGCAACCTTTTTTTCATTAAAGCATCAAGTTTTGCGCAAAAAAACCCCACCCATCTCCACTGTTTTTTTGGTTTTTTTAACACCGAAAATAATACTAGAATAGAAATCTTGTGTTACAATGGGAAAACCTTCAGCCAACTCAGCTAATTGAGCAGCAATGCCTCCTTAGGCACGATCTTGCTCAACTGACTGTCCTGCGTGCTCCATGAATTGTAGGCGTGCAAGAAGGATGTCTAGGCTTTGGGGCGTGGTGGTTCCCCCTTCTGAAATGAAGGAATTGAGGCTTCTTGTTGAGAACCAAGCTCTGTAGGTCAGGAGGGAGCTCCTGGCCATGGAATCCAGGTTGTGGCCATGCACAGCTGCCTTCCAAAACAGTGAATGAATTCCAGATGCCTTTGTGAGCAGGTGTGACCAGTGTGCCCCTGTGTACCAGGAGCTGCTTGATTTATTTTCTAGAAGGTGCTTTGGAAGATGGATGTTGGCTGTGGCTTTTCATCCTGCTCTGTAATACTGGCCCAGTGTATGGTATGGCTGTCATTGGCATGCAGCTCAGGTAAATCTGACCTCATGGGAAGGGTTCTAAATAGACCTTGAGGTTTCCAGGAGTGTAGCCTGTATTATATCATATCCACTTGGGTATGATATGTGTGGTAACCTGTAACTGAGGCCACACAGCAATACTGATACAGTAGAGTGAAGAAAGGATAGAGGTGGCTTTGCTGCCAGAGTTAGGGACTGAGAACTGTTTGCTTGTTATAAAAGGTCTAACTTCTTGATTCTTCTAAAAACCAAATCTTGCCTGTAAGGAATTATATGCCAGAGTCCTCATAGTGTTTCTATAGTACTTGCTTGATGAATTTTGAACAAAAAGAAGTCTCTTAGGGCCTTCCTGTATTTAGATTTTTTAAAATAAATCAAATAATTTGAGGATGAATTTGACAATATATCTTGCTCTCATGCTCTAAAAGATATACCAGAGTAAACAATCCCATAGACTATGTATATTTTCCTATGGGTTGGCTCTGTGTGAGGCTTTTGTAAAGGTGTATGGCTTAGGGGTGTGTGTAATACCTACCCGTATTTGACAGAGTAGTTCTAGTCCTTGTTTAACCTCTGTAGCCCCAACAGGAATTTGGAGGTTAGTGGTTAAGTAATGTACGTGTCCATGAAGACACAGCATGGCTGGTTTGGTGTCCAGGAGACTGTTGAGTTACTTCAGCTTAGACTCACTCACTGTCTTGAGTTGAAAGGGACCCTGAAGGGTCACAGAGTGCAATGCCCTGGTCCTTAGAGGAGTACCTAAAACTGATCCCTGTGTCTGTGAGTGTCATCCAGGGCAGCCCAGGTGCTCCTTGGACTCTGGCAGGCTTGGTGCCATGACCAGGGGCAAGGGAAGTTCCTGGGCAGCCTGTCCCAGTGACCAACCACCCTCCTAGTGAAGAACCTTCTCCAGTGTCCAGTCTGAACTTGCCCTGATTCAGCTTCACTCCATTCCCTCACTTCTGCTGCTGGTCACCAGAGAGGGGAGATCAGCACCTCCCCTCCCCTGCTGCCCTTGAGGAAAGTGCAGAGAGACAAAGAGAGAAGGAAAGACTTGTCTCACCTGTGTGTCAGGTACTCCTTGACTGTCCTTGGATCTGCCATCCCTAGAGAGACTTGTTTGACTCGTTTGTGGAAGTGACAGCCTCCAGAAGGAAACTTTTGTTTCCTCAAGAGTGGAGGAAGCACAAATGTTTAGTCTGGGATAGATATCTAAATTCTAGATAGACTAAAGGCAAGGGAGATGAGTAGCTCCCACTCATCTAAATAGCATTTAGTTTTTATTAAGTGCCTGTTACACTTATTTTTACTCTTTTTTATTGTTGTTGCTTCTATTTCTTTCTTAAAAAAGTAAGAAAACCTACTCAAAGTGATTTAACTGGAACTTTTTACAGCTATATGTGAAATTTGTGCAGCAGAACTTTATAAGGACTGGGGCTTAGGATAACAGTGAGTAACACAGTTTCCCAAGCTGTCCATTTCTTCAATTGTATGTATGATGACAGCCACTATGAGTAAAAGTGGGCTTGCTAGGGATGAAAAGGGAGAATCATCATGTGATTAATACCAATATGACTCTAGCCAGTACTGCAGAGTATAAACTTGCATTCTTGTCGGATCTGTACTGTCTGTTTGAAATTTCATAAATTGTGGTGTTTTCTCTATCAATGGAGTAAAATGATAGAGATCAATTAATATGACTCTGGTGATGTCTGGAAAACTCTAAGTAATGCCCATGATACACAACTGCAGGGCAGGGAGAGGGCAAACGATCTGGTGATAAAATCTTGGCCATCTGATTGAGGTGGCAGGACTGGTGCTATTAAAATTAAAGCTCCTGTTCTTTCTGCTGGCCCTGCATGGTTAATTGGCTAAAATAGAAATAATCATTCAATATGGAAAATACTGGAGTTCTCATTGACTTTTAGTGTGAAATTTAATGGGCTGAAGTTTCAAGACTCAGAGGTGATAAAAGGATTCTTGCATTTGAGAAGCCCTGAATGGCACTCTCCTTATAATGTAACATATACATATATATGCATATATATATACATATATATCCACATACATACTGTACTGTATCAACACATATTTGTGCTGAGTACATGTGTTCTTTGGCTTTAACTGGTACTCTGCTTTGTTTAGTTGCAGTTCAGTGTAAAAGACTCTGGTTGATCAAGCTTCAAAACCCAGCCATTCCTTGGGTAGAAATGTAAAGTCTATAGTAGCAACTAGGTGATTTGGACATGGTACACTTGGAGTGATGTAAGTTTGATGAATTTCTGTGATACAAATCCCAGGCCTTGGTGAAGATGAGCATATTCTTTCACTAACACTGCAGTTCTACATTGCAGCTTCTGAAAATTAGTTAGAGTAACAGAGAAATAGATTGCCCAATGCTAGTGAACTAGTAAGGCTACTCCATAAGCAGAACAACCATACGATGACTTTTCCTAGCTCAATGTTGTATTGCTTAAGCATTGGCTGTAATTCTAACAATCATCTGGTGGATGACTCAAATAGGTTTTTATGTCTGTTATCTGTTGGGATTTTCTTTACTTTTCAAAGAAATGCTTATATTCAGACTGTAGCTTCTCTTTCTCCTCCAGTTATGAAATGGTTTAACTTTATGCTAGTAATGGAAATATTTTCATTAGATTATAATCTCTTGACAGCACAGGGTACTCAGAGTGGGGAGTGTTTGGCTTTGACCATCACTACCGTGGGTGAATGTGAGAAGGCAGACTGGAGGTGTATCTAACATCCTTGGCTCTCTCTAACAAATAGGTTAAGCTAGTGCCTAATTTTTTGTGCATTTTTGATTTGTATTTTTTTTTCCCATTCCCTCAAAATTCTGCTCCCTGGCGAGGGATGCATTGGTGACCAGATGGTGTGCCCAACTTTTTAAAGTAGCCTGCTGTCCTGGTTTGCTTGGGGTGTTTATCTTTCAAAAGGGAGTTACCACTCTTCACTGACAATGCAGCTGTTAGAGGGAGGCAG